TACTACTAAGGTAAACATCATGTCCCCGGGGTCTGAACTGCGCGCGCGCTGGAAAAAGGAAACATAACGTTTATAGCTCCGCCAGGGCCCAACGGTCCCGTCTCAGCGGAGTGATATGAGGCTGAAACAAAGCGACACGCGCGGGCCACCGCACTGCGCTGCCCCGATGTCCGCAGCGCAGACCTCGGTCTCTCCTTCCCTCCCCCTCGGCCTGTCTGCTCCTCACTATTTAAAGCTCAGTCTGCTGTTTATATGTAGAGCCGATGACGTAGCGTCGAGTAGCACCTTCCCATCCCGGGCAGTCTATATTAGAGAGCCAATATGGCTGTATAAAAACCAGGCAGCGAAAAGGAGGAGGGCCAGAACCGAGAGAGAAGGGAGACGAGGAAGCCATTTTACGGAGCCGCAGAGTGCGCGCTCGACAGCCTTTTTCTTTTAAATAGTGTGTGGCGGAATGTGAAGGACATTTTCGGTGTCTTATCTTATCAGTGCTCAGCTTTGGCTAAATATTTTTTGGCTCTGCTGGCAGGTAGCAAGGACAAATTTGATATGGTATGGGTTAAAGAAGTGGTTTGGGACGGCTACCCTGCCTTCTGGTCGTGGAATGGTGGACAATGATGAGGCAGTTGACGACTTTCTACTGAGGAGGCTTTAATATATATATTTATATAAACTATATATATTAAACGCTCAATTCTCTCGCCGTGGATGATGACAATGTGCTTTGCGTACATCTGTATTTCATAAGCTATCCAATAATAAAAGCTTAAATTGACAATTTCTTCCTCCTACGAACAAACAAGCATTTTAGACAACTAACCTGGCAGCTCAAGCGTCCACCAAAAATGAATTTAGCCATACACGCTATTAGACTGTGATCACGTAAAGTAACCTTCCAACTAATGGAAGCTTCAACCTGCCGATAAACCACTAAACTAGATTTACATCTTCATCGCTAAACCTCAGTTTCTACACGTGTTCTTATTTTTACTCAAACACTGCCTCTCTAAAGTAAGCCATTCCTCCTCCGAGATGGTTTCAAATGAAAGAACTACCTAGTTTCGAAAACTAATTATAATGGCCGATTGACTGAAACTTAAGTATTCCCTTTAATAGATATAACAGTGAAGTGTTTGTTAAAGCAGACTCATTTTACTGTAATACATAAAACCAGCTCGTCGACAGCTTTCCAATAACTTTACCCCCATTTCCCCCGCTGACAATCCTTAGAGATTGATCCTTACCACTGGGTTCGAGTTAGCCGAGCTCGCCATTATACGCGTAGTGTAAAAACCACACGGAAATAGGCGAGGAATAGAGCCAAAAATTACGAAAAACGATTTAAAACAACTGGGAAAGATATTTTAAAACAGCCGGCATCACTTTTGTAAATAAAACACAGTTTAGGCGGTCTTATTTACAATCCCGGGCTGCGACTCCCCAGCCGTCCTCCTTCCGTCGTTGTCCTGCTTTATATACTGAGCGAAGAAGCTGCGAGTGCGCGAGACATAGGGCAGGGTCAGGTCGCACATAGCGCGAGATTTCGTGGGGAGTATGACGACCAATCAATAGAGCCGCTCATGGGACATGTAGTTTAATAATACTTTTTTTTTTCTTTTTAGAAAACGGAACTGAATCCTCAGTGATCGCATTAGCTTAATGCTCTGTGATCTTGTTTATTGAGTCAGGGAAAGTGTACATATTACGAACCATGTGATGAATTAAAAATAGAGGAATTAATTAGATAAAAGTAGCTGGTTACTTAAAATGCTAATAAAAGCCTATTAGCTATATGCTAATAGGCTAAGTCATTTTAAATTAACTTATTTCATTTTTTCTTTCTTTTTTTTTCTATTATTTTTCCTGTTTTCCATCATATATTAGAACTGTATGCTGCAATGATGGATGCTCATATTAAATATGGGAAAACATTCAAATAATGCCTTCAGCATATGTACAAATCATGAGCTAAAAGCTCAGGCCTTGGGGTGGCTTTAGACAGGTTTTCACAGGGGTTTCTGAGGGGCTGCCAATCAGAACCTAAAGCAGCTCATTTTAGAAAGCGAATAAACCAAAGACCACTATAGGATAAATACAGATTATTTTTAAACTGTGACTCATGTAAAGCTGCACTAGTATAGCCCAACAATAATAATAAATATCAAGAAATAGTATGTCTCCTTTAATGTTAACAGTTTTATTCAACATGTTTGGAGAAATGCTTTTGTCTAATGGCCAACGTTGGTTGTTGCAGATTAAATATAATATTTTAAAAAATATACATATAGAACAGAATAGAACAAAATGCCTTTATTGTCACTATACAGTTGACAGTGCCAACATGTTTATGGATGTAACCATTATTAATAGGAAAAACATGATATTCTTATCACATATAATGCATAAAGGCTATTTAAGAAATAGTGCTAATAATTTTTTTAATGTATTCACTTGTAACAACACCAACAGTTTAATTGGCTTTTGCACTTAATAGTTGGACCTTGTGTTAGCTCAGCACTACTTTTACCTAAGCAGAGGATCTGGATGCTTCTTTCACTACTGGTCCACACTTTAATACTTTCATGCGACACAGGTGCCTCTTAAACAAGTCTGACCTTTACCAGCTCCGTAACTGCACCTGTAATGCTTCTCTGTGGGGCCAGTGTGCTTTATGTAGTAACATCGTGCCACCACAAGAGGGTGATCACACCACGCACCAGGAAAACAGGCTCTGTCTTCCACATTTCAACACTCACACTCACACACACTCACACACACTCACACTCACACAATCCACTTTGTAAAACACGCAACTGTTTTCCACGTTATTCAATAAAAGCAGATTTAAGTGAATTTTTGGATGAGCAACATCCACTGGTCTTGTTTGCTCGCTCTGAAACAGACTTGCCCTGACTACCAAAGGGGAAATTTACCCCCCACACAAAACAATAAAGCTTTGCAATAAATGAGAGCTGACAAGAGAACGTTACCTCCACTTCCGTCTCCATGGAAACTTGCCTCGCTGGTCATTCTGAGGATATGGATGATATAGACCGGGGAGCACACTGCTCTCCGCGTGCATCAATCCACTCAGCGGTTCAGTGCGGCTCTTCTGAAATGGCATATTACACCACCTGAATTCATTTCATTTAGTTCACTGAGATGAAATTAAAGGCCTGTCCGCCCCTGACAAGGATGTGCTTTTGGATTCACTTTAAACCTTTTCCAGTGGAGAACAGTTGGGGAGGGAAAAAGAGGAAAGAAGTGACATGATAGGAAAAAGACTTTGTTTAATCTGTGCTTCTAAACGTGAGATTTCATCAGACGTGAAGCCACGTTATCCATGAAATGTTGTCGCTACCTTTGAGTCTCACTCTCTGTAACTGAGTAGTAAGATGCCCTCTAAAGATCCACAGAATGCACACTTTTCTTTTCTCACCCCCCTCTTCTTCTTCGCTGTAGTTGCATAGCAACAGAGGAGCTGCTAGCTCCAGTTGTGTTGTGGTGGGAGCGTGCTGCACAGGGAGGCACTGGCTCAAGATTAAGCCGGTCTCTGCTTCAATTATGAATGGGCTTCCACTGCCACACGGCTCCAAAATGGCACCACTCAGATTGATAAGACACCGAGGCACTCTTTGGTACACTTAACTCTTTTACTTCTTTCCCTTAGGGAGGGGGAGCAGGACTTTAATCAGAAGTATTGAACTTAAATGATTAGAGGAAGCAAGTGAATAATTAACTGGCGGGAAAGGCTTGGTTATGATAAGACCCTTGTTGATGGGAATATGTGAGGTTAATGATTGGGGTCAGTCTTGAGAGCAAATTAGAGTCTCTAGTATCACAAAGGTAGCACTCTACTAGTAAGTGTGGGTTTGTGTGTGGTGCTGAGGAGGTGGATGACAAAGGCTGACATCCTTTACTACATTTCACTTGAAGTGCTGAGATGAAAACAGCTAATTGTTTAGTACTCTGATCAGCTTCCAGTAAATATGTTCTTAACAAAACTCAGGTTGATTTACAGCGGTTTATGTGCAGTGGAGGTGGGTTGCAAATTGGCTTGCAGTGTGCAAAAGTCTTGAGACACTTAATTTCTAGATTATTTTATTTTGCTTCCAAGGAGCCAGATTTTCTCAAATTTTTAAGAGAAATTCAAGGTGGGCTCAAAGTGGGATTTTAAAGTTTTCTTGTGCTTTTTCAGTAATTTCCAGTCCTTGTACCTGACCATTTTCAGAGGAGCTGTTTAACACTGACCTATGCATCATTCAAGAATAATAAAAGGCACCAAACTGAAGAAATTAACCAGTGTTGCACCTAAAACAGATGCCTTAGTAAAGAACCTATTTTTAGTAGCATGTTTAGGTACTTTGCTACTGGCAGTCTGTTGCAAAAACATATAATTAATTAAAGTCTTACAAAAATGCCCAAGATAGCACAGCTTAATGGGCAAAGGTCTGTCGACAGACCAGGTCAGCACCTGGACTCTTCTACTACAAAGAAATCGTGCTCTCCAGAGAACACGAGTCCAGTGGCAGCGTGTTTACACCACTGCATCTGATGCATTGTGCTCGGTGATGTAATCTTTGGCTGGAGCTGCTCAGCCATGGAAACCCGTCCATGAAGCTCTCTGCGCACTTGAGCTAATCTGAAGGACACGTGAAGTTTGGAGGTCTGTAGTGACTGACTCTGCTCTGCGGGTTTACGTGGCTACCACTTTGAGTTGCATTCCCAATCACTTCCATTTTGTTATAACACCATTAATAGATGAATAGCTGACGGTGGTGCATTTAGTAGAGAGAACATTTTATTCATGACTGAACTTGTTGCACATCCTATCACAGCACCACGCTGGAGCTCACTGTGCAACTCATTCCTCCATATGTTTGCAGAAGCAGTCTGCATGCATAGATGCTAACTTTTATACACGTGTGACCACTGAAGTGACTGGAACACCTGAGTTCGATGATGGTTTTTAGCAATAGTGCACTTTTCCAAAGTTTGGTGGCCCGTAAATAAAGGTGGTCATTCCAAATATTGACTTTTGAGCTCGTTAGAATTATGCAAAATCATTTTTTTCCATGTATGTTTGCACATAAATTGCTGCACCTATTTCACATTGCTTTATCGACATATAAAGAAATTAGGGTTGCCTGATACTTTATGTCCCACAGTACTGTGTGAGATTTGCCCACTGGATGAGTAACAGTGGTGCCACTTCAGCTGACGTCCATATCTCCGACTGTAACTATGCTTTTGTCTTTTATGATATCATCTGAAGAACAACAGCCAAGCGTAGCTTCTGCAACTCGTATTTTTTTTTTATTATTGCAACCAACTGGAAGACAATACATCACATAAACATCATTGTAGTTTCTCAGAAAATGGAAAACAAAATAAAACAACATTTATATATTTTTGCCACGGTATTGGACAACGTTGATATTTACATGTAGTGATGAAATAGGTCTTGAAATCATTCTTTGGCAATATGATTTGCACAATAAGGAGAAAACCGAACATTTACTGAAACAGAAAAAACCAAAGAAGAAGAAAAAAGAAAACAAGAAAACAACACCTGGGTGTACCCTGCATCACATCGCACAGATCAATAACAGTTTTGCATTTTGACATCTCTAACCTATGGCTTTCCAATATTCAGCTCAGACAGTCACGGAAAAAAGAAAATAACGGCAGTATTATAGATAAGTCTGTCAGAAACAAAAAGAAACAGGAAAATTTAAAAGGCGCGTAAAAACGTCAACAAATAATAAAAAAATAATAATAATGGCAACTATTCTTCTAGGAGCTTTTTGTGGTACGTTTGGCAGGTTTGAAAGAAAACACTTTGCTGTTCGGGGGCTTTTCAGGCAGTGAAGTGGATGCACTTTGCTTTAATACGTCCAGGTACAGTTCATGTGTTTTACCAGGACTCAGAGGTGAACAGATCTTTCCTGCGTGTCACAGAGTGAGCCAGAGGCAGAAACCCCCCAAAAAACAAACGTGCGCTGCTAAAGCGACACGTCCTACCCCCTCGACATGCCTCTTGCCAACTCAACGCGGTTACTAGTCACCACAGCGGCGGATTGGTACATCGAATACAGCAGAGTGCTTGACCCGGGAGCACTCAGACACACATCAGACGACAGACAGATGGCACACAACGACAACACTAACAGTGTCTCCTTTACCCCCCCCCTTTTTTTTTTCTTTTTTCTCTTTATGGGTACCACACAAAATGCAAAGCCAGTGATGCATGCTACAGGTGGCGAAAGACTGCCGGTGGATGGGGGCATGCATTTGTTTTCCTCCCGCTTGGCTCGCTGACGATCGTTCAACGTCTCTTCAGCTCGAACAAACCCCCACCCCACCTCTCCCCCGTCTGGCTCTGCTGCTACAGCCAAAGCCCAGCCTACGTTTTCACCTAAAAAGCGGCTTTATTTTATACGCAGACGAGGGTCGGATAATACTTGTGCGCGCATTCCCGTTTTAGCCATGATGCACCTGGGGTTAAAAATACTGTCTGTAAATCAGAGAAAAGAAACGTCCCCTTCCCCATGTTGTCTTTTTTTTCTTTTCTTGGAGATATGAGGGCATCTACAAGGTCTCCCGCGCCCCTTTCCGATTTCAAACATTTACACCGAACAATGCCGATGGAGAGGAAGGACACGCGTACGTTTACACACTGAAGTAAAAGTAAAAACAATACTGTTATAAATAAAGACAGGTTCTGTCGTGACAACAGAGGTACTGAGGGCAGGCAGGCAGGCACGATGTTAAAGGGTGTGTGTTCCTGGGCACACAAACGCACACACTCCACAGACGTGTTCTGGGATAACACCGGGGTTTAACATTGAACACCTAAAACAATTCAATTAAATCAAAAAAAAGAAAAGAAATCACTGTACAGGCAGAAGAAGTCGTAAGCCCCACCCCCCCAAGAGGTGTTTCAGCTGGCCTACGTTATAAGCCTGAACCCGAAGCCCAGAGGTGGCGTCCTTTGGGCCTCTAATTGCAGAGTGATCTCCCACGTTTCCTCCCTGAAGACGTGTCTTTGAAAGCCCGCTCAGAAAAAGAAGGAGACGAAATAAAAAAAAAGAAAAGAAAAATCTCCAATATAATCACGGGTATAAGAATTGGCGGCAAAACTTTTTTTTTCTTTCCTCTAGGATCAAGGTTTATATGAAAATAAGTCATGCTTCATGCTAAATACATCGTTTATCTTACATGATCTTTGAATAAAAAAGATTTGCTTTTTATCTTATTTACAAGCACCCATGCAATATAACTGAGAAAGTCCTGCAGGTCAAATTGCTTCAATTAAGAAAAAGGAAAAAAATAAAATATTTTCTAACCTTTTTACAGAGTTGCCCGCACAGGGGCAAATTGCTTATATCTTTATGAGGGTAGAGTGAGGGTAAACAGACACAAACAGAAACCTAAACCCACAGTTCATGTATATAGTTCTTTGTCAAATGAAGAGGAGGAGTGGTGGCAGCTACTGGCAGCTATGAAATCTATACCAGGTGTCTACGTCGTCTAATGGAGAGAAGTACGAGGGGGTGGAGGTTTTACATTATGCAACAACAACAACAAAATGAAGGAGATATTGCCTCAGACCCGGCACACTATCCGTCTCTATGGTGATAAAACATGACCTTTTTTTTTTTTTTTAAATTTTAATATATTTATTCTTAAATACTATGAGTGCTCTTGAAATAAACCATGTCTTTACCCATGATGCTTTTTATTATAAGTGGCGTAAAATAAGTGCATGAATATATATCACATTGGGTTTTACATTTATTTCCACACTTAAGGTCACTCGCTCTCGTTAGCTCTACTACGCCATCTTTGAACTTTTTTTGTGTTTGTTTTTTTTCACGTCAGCTGTCGTATCGGCTACATGAAGCAACCTGGTCGCTTATCTTTGGCACAGTCTCACATTTGTGCTCGTGGATGTAGGAGAGTGACGCCGGCGGGCGGGCGGGCGACCCGAGTCTGGGCGAGCGCCGCCGCCGCCGGCTATCACTGCAAGATTGCTACAGATTCACATAGAAACAAACAGGTAAGACAAACAGCCATCGTCAGCTCCCGCCCTCCCCCTCCCGGCAACGTGACTCGGTTTTGTTGCGCTCGTCCAAATTAGTGACAAAACGTGCTTTTGTTTTTTTCCTTTTTTTATGGCTTTCATCCCCTTTTTAAACAACAAAAAACCAACAAAGACATATGAGAAATACCCATCGATGTTTAGTGTTGCTGAACATGTAGGAAAACATAGATTTTTGATATTGCCACAAATAAGTAGGATTCACCTAATGCCCTGCAGATAGATAGAGGGAGATGACAAGTGTCCGTTGAGACTAATGCTGTAGTAATGTTACCTGTTGACCTAGTTGTGTGTGTGTGTAAATCTGTGTGTGTGTGCTCGGAGCTATAAGCCGTCTGTGTGTGTGTCGATGCTTTGTTCTATGTGTGTGTGTCTTAGTTTCTCAGGGCCTCTTTCTGCTCCTTCTGGCCCTTGGCGGTGCGGTTTGTGATGTTGTTGAGGCAGGCTCTAACCCCCGCCAGGTGGAGCAGCGATCCCGCCGCCTCTTTCATCTCCTCGTCGTCGCTCTCCGGCGGCTTCTCCACCGTCGCCGCGCGCCGCTTCTTCAGCGGCAGCGTGTCACTAATGCCTCTCGCTCGGCTTTTGGTCCAGGGCAAACTGCTCCCAGCCGGAGTCCCGGCTCCCCCCAAACTGCGTCTCTGTCCGCGCGGGGGCTGCTGGGAAATGTAGGTAGTGGTGGTGGCGGCAGTGGTGACGTGAGAGTCCAGCGGGATCTCCCGGGGCTCGGGTTTGACGTCCGATTGGATTTCCACGGCGATGATGTCGTCGTCGTCCACGGGGGAGGAAGGGGAGGTGACCTGGGAGGAGCTCAGCCTGCTGGGGGATTTGGCGGTGCTGTAAGTGTGGTCGTCCTGGAGGTCCTCGCCGCAGGGCGGAGGAGAGTAGCGGGATGGGCTGTCCTGTCCTCGGCTTAGATAATCGCCCAGGGATGATCTGTATGGATCGAGGACACAGAGAATAACGTTACTCCTGCTGTCACGCTGCCAGGTGGGCTGCCTGCCTCGACCTGCTTCACTCCACTGACGCTGAGCTTCTCTGCTTCACTAGGAAAAAGTTCAGGTTCTAATCTATCAGCCACAAATAGCTCCCTCGGGCCTCACGCATATTTCTGAGGTCAGATAAAAGCCGTATTTCAAAAAGACTCAGCCTTCCTTTTCAGGAACGAGCTGCCTCATTTTCAGATCGCCACCTTTGCGCCCCCCCACCCCCACCCCAATGACACTGTGCATTTTTAGCAGAACCCATCGTCTCGAAGGTTGCTCAGCACATAAAGAACCTTGTGAACTCTAACGTCAGAGCGCCTCGACGGTGACGATTCTGCGGCGAGGCCGTTTAACGTTCGTGCTCGTTACACTGCGACGCGCGTTTTGCTCTATTAGTCGGGAGACACTTTTCGCTGTAAAGCGTCAAAGGACGGCGTGGGGTGGGGGGTAATCCTGACAACCCATAAATCAAAAAGTAGCTTCAGCAGCGTGCCCTGTCCCCCCGGACATCCCCCCCTCCCCCCAGAATGAGAGCGTGAGCATATTAATATCTCATAAGAAAAACATGCACTCCCTTACAGTGATCAAATATTCACTGCAAACCTTTAGTGAGCCTTTCGGGTATGTTTAATTCATTATGCAGTGCAGGCCATCATACTCTCGTGCTCCTGTGATGGATGTGCATGTCCATGCATGCTCCCAATGTTCTTTGAATCACGAGGCCTCTCCCTCTAATAAACCTGTTTGTGCGTCTGCGAGAGACCGTTATATAAACACACCTGGATGAAACGTCGTGCACGGCGGGACGCGTGTGAACGCCTCTGACTTTCCAGCACAATAAAGATGTAATTATGTAAACTATGAAAATTTGGGAGCTCCCCGAGCTTTGTGCCACTGCATGTAGGTGTAGGCGTGTCTGTGCAGCCCCCCCCTGGTGTTAATCATACGTTTGAAGGCAGCAGGAGCTGTTTACCCACCTTATGGCCGAGGTTCTGCTCCCCACAGGGCTTACAGGTAAGGGTCTGATAACAGGGAAGAGGGCCTGGCTCCTGACACGGGCGCCATTTTGGATCACACCTCGAGGAACTGAAAGAGAGAGCAGGTGGAACATCAGCTACACGCACGACACGAATCAGTTTCAGTGACGAGCGGAGGGATTAAAAAAACGCAACAGAAGAAGCTCCTAAAAAAACAAAAACCTCTCAGATCCGACCTCCACAAGACCCGAGCAGCTCGATGAGCATCCACTGTCCATTCGAGGAGGCCAACGGGGCAATATTGATGCGCGAGGCAAGGTTAAATTGAGCAGGAAAGCGTCATAAATGAGTTAAGGCCGCTGCAAATCATTCAATTACCAACGACCGCTGGGCACGGCCAAATCCAGCCCGCCTGATACAGCAGCCGCTGGAACTCAAAGGGGGAAACCGCAGATCTGAAAATCTGAAAGGCACGTCTGTTTCGAACCCAAGAGTTAAAATAACCAAGTAAATTCACATCTTTTTACGTTACTAATTTATCTGCTGATCTTTTTTATTGGTTCGTCTCAAATGTCAGAAAACAACATTTTCCAAAGCGGGTTAGTATTTTGAAATTAAAGATGCAGATAAAAATGATTCAGTGTCTCTTTTATGAAACAGTCATTAAATTTCATCTGAACCTGAAGCCTGAACAGGTCTCTCTTGTAAGACTTTGTGTATAAATAAAGGTTAAATAAAGACATTCAATGACTTTATATTTTTTTTACCTTCAAACTTTATTCAGTGAAGAAAGTCTTTTACTGATTAATGGCTGTGTGGCAAATGCATTCAGTGGTTATCTAGGCAACAAGACTTCATTTCTTTGTGTCAGACATGAATATAATAGTTATCATGACTTTTTCAACTAACTTTTAGCTACTTGATCACATGACAAATGGCCTATAAGACTTCCATCATTAGCATTAAACTTGAAGGTGAACTAGTAGCTCAACAGATCAGTGTTAACGTGACAGTAAGAAGCTCAAAGAACCCTCAGCAGACCTGCGACGTCCGACTGCGTTGGGCAGTGAGCTCTGTTGTTGTGGAAGAAGTTTGTCTTCCAACAGTCGTCCATCTGGTCTAGCCAAGAAAAGCCTTGGTCAGGGAGGAGGAAGTGTAGCCAGTGGTCACGCAAACCAATTTTCAAAGAAACTAAAGAACCCACCAGAAGGACAACTCTGCGGCACTCTGCCTAAGTGCCATTTTACTCCGCTGAAAAAACAGGCATATGGCAAGCCCACCTGGAGTTTACCAAACGATACTTTCTGCAGACTAATGAGACAAAGATTGAATTGTCATGTCTGGAAAGCAAAGCTTTTCTACTGGCAAAAGACAGGTGCTGCTAATCACCTCGCTAATGTGGTCACCACATTGAAGCATGATGTGACTGGTGCAGAATACAGAGAGGTCACTGGAGAAAGAAACCCACACGACTGGGCTCAGACACAGACAACATCCTGAAACACACAGCCGTGGAAATGCACTGGCTTCCAAACAACTTGGGCCTAAAAATCTGTAGTGACAGACGAAGGTTACGGCTTACAAACCTGAGCCAATCTAACAGCAGGCAGAAAAACGTCCAACCTTTCACCTTGTTATTTTAATATCGTGTGTGTGCAACTAATGTATGGAAATTAGCTTAGTTGCTCCTTACGTAAGTTACGTGAGTTACGTAAGAAGATTGATATTATTCTCGTGATTGTACGGTAAATGTAGCGCTGCAGCGCTAGTTAGCTAGCTAGCTTAAATTAGCTCAGTTTAGCATAAGATAGAAACACTTAAACAACAAAAAATATGATATATATTCATTTATTTTTGATGTCATAAAAGTTGCTGTCTGGTGGCAGACAGTTTATATTAACTTTAAAGAGAACCACCCTGACTGTTAGCTTTTCTCTCCTCTCTTCACGCTACACCAAGCTAACTGGCTGCTAGCTGGCTGCTAGCTGTAGCTTCATATTTAAAGTACAGACAGTTGATAACATTTAAGAAGCTTCAGTCTTTCAAATAAAGTCACTTTTATGTGTGTAGAACAGGCGTTTATGCAAAGTGTTTTCCAGCTGCCCTAAAAATTATTATATACAAAACTATAAAGAATGAAAACGCCGAGCTAACCACAAATCATGAAGAATAGATAAAAAAGCAAATATAACCAAAGTAATCACTGAAAGAATAAATGTAAATACAGCACTGGGTTAAAAATACTCAGGAGGTAGAGCAGCTACTAGTCAGAAGGTTGGTGGTTCAGTCCATGGCTGCTCCAGTCTGCATGCCAAATATCCTCAGGCAAGTTACTAACCCCAAGTTTCCCTCCGATGCATCCACCAGTGTGCGAGTATGTGTTACGGTTAAATCACTTAAGGATAAAAAAATAGTGCTTGGGTGATTGAAGCATGTTGTATAAAGCGCTCTGAGTGATCAGCTAGTGTAGAAACATGCTACATAAGAACCAGCTGATCATAATAATAAAGAAAAAAGAAAAGTGATTAAAAGTGCTGTTTAAAAACAGTCATCTAACTTTAAGCGATAAAAACATCTTCCCCAACAAATCACGCAGTGACTCAGGTCTGTGAAATTTCGACATATGGTTTTAATTTGTAATTATGAAAGAGATTGTAAACTAAGGGTAGAAAAAGTAAACTTTTACAGCTAACCTGCAATCAAGATGCTGGAGAAATAATGTAAAAAAAAGAGAAGCTTTTTAGTATTCAGGGTGTTTAAGTATATACTGGAACTTTCTCTAGTTTACAACAATGCCTCAGCTAGAAAAACATTTCAGATTTAAGACAAACATTAAGAAGTTCCACATGATCATTTGTTTCTTAAGCCATTTCAGATTTTCCACCGAGGCCAAAGTCTTGTCTCTGGTTTCCTGCTCAGACTGGACTGTGGCAGACCAGAAGGAAGATCCAAACAGGTTTTAAGCTTTAATTGTAATTTATGTGAATCTATATATAGTTTCTACACAGATTATACACTTTGAAGAGAAGAGAAAAGAAGAGCGTACATCTGATCCGAAAGCTCTCATTATTCAGGGCTTGCTGCTCACCACAGTCATCCCAGTTCACTGGAACAGCTGTCATTTTCATCTCTGGGGTCAGTTTGTGTTTCGCAAACGATGACCTGCTGTTTGCTTTTGTCTGCCGCAGAAACATTTGTTAAGGTGTGACTGTGAACGCCGTTTATCAAGCCATCGATATACTGCAGCTGAAGCATTTTTGGGAGGAGGGGGGTTAAATCTCAGCCCATACAGTAAATTTATGATTGATGTTATGAGCAGAAATTTAATTTTCCTCGAGAACCACGAGCTCATTAAAACATACAAGTCCCCCCCCCATGTGGAAAGCAATCTTGTATATTTGGTTCATGTTGCCACACACACACACGAGCACTCGTGCATTATGATTTTGTCATTGTAAGTGTGCGTCTGCTGCCTCTCTCTGGCCGCCTGTGTCCACAGTAATCTTATTGACTCCTGTTAGCGCGGCTCTGCCCCTGATATCTGCAGCTCTGCTCTCCATAACCTTATAAGTAAGTCCCTGCACAGAGTCTCTTTTGTAATCTTGATCACTCGCTGCATGGATGTGTGCGTGTGGGCAGTGGTCTCCCCGGGTTGACACGCACCCACCCTTTCTCCTCCCCACCTCCCGTTCCAGTCAGGCTTTGGGTTACCATAGCAACGGTTCCCTTTCCACATGCCACAGAGTGGTAGATCATGCATCAGCAGGGATCTACCACTCTGGGAAAGCAGGGCGGAGAAGCCGTTTCTTCATACGCACCCTAAACTTTTCACGACGTTATCGAGCAGACGCGTACGTTCGGTGGACGGTAAACAATCTTTAATGCGTCAGCTCTCGAATAGCTTGTCCGTGTGTGCCGATGTGAGAGCAGAGCAGGCGGCTCCGTTTGAAACCTCATCACAAACGGCTGGTTGCTGTGTGTCAGCCTGCTTTAAACTTGCCTCGATAACAGACTGTGCATAAAAGATGAACAGAGTCACTGGCCTTGTGTCACGGATAAATACAACAACATAAAAGGATACGACCGAGACAAAAACTGCTATTTTGTAAATAATAAACATGAATTCACTGTGTAATTGTGTAACTTTATTAGCAGCGTCCTCCTGAAATGCGCCAACAACATTGAGAGTAACATCCTCCTCTCTGCCCCTTAATGCTCTCTGGTTGCTATGGTAACGTGTGAATATTTCTTTCAAAATAAGACACAACTACAACATGGGAAAGACCCGGTGAAACAGAGTTAACGATAAAACCCCTGAAAACCATAAATTTCACACCCGAGCCTCTACTCTCGCGGCCCGGAACCAAACGACTCATGGACCGGTACCGGTCCGTGGCCCGGGGGTTGGGGACCGCTGACCTAGATGGCAGGTTTGGCTAGCAAGCTGTTTCCATAAACAACAAACAAACACTGATATCTGCTAATTAGTTTTAAGTAACACACGAACAAAGTAGAACTCAAAGTTCTTAGTCTGTTGGTTACACTGTGACTCATTATTTGCTAATTATCGCCGAAAAGGCACAAACACAGCAAATTCAGTGGCCTGGATTAGCTGAGGTGACACCTGGTGCAAACTTTAAGCTTAAATAAGAATTAAATTGCATGTTATAAAAAACAACATAAGCATAAATGTGATATACAAACCAAAACAGCTGTTTGTATCAGACTGTAAATCGGGACATTTTAACATGGACATCCAAGGGGACTGACACGATATTGGGAGTGAGCCTCAAGTGGCCATGTGCGGAACTGCATCTGCTTTATCTTTCATCACTGGCTAATGCAGCTGAGCCCAAACCAGTCGGCGACGTCCAGATTCAGTCTTGTCTAGATTTCATGAGTGAAAACAGTGAGAGAGAGAAATGTTTGACATGAGCTCTCACACCTCAGCAGCAGCAGTTTATCCTAGATGCAGACATCTGCACACATACATATAACCTCTACTATAGGTGCAAGCTTCTCTTACATATGTGACCTCTACATTTACCTCCTCGCTCTGCTGACTGTTTGCATTTCTTTCTTCCATCCTCACTTGTTGATTTTTTCCCCCTCTGTGCATCGATCTGTCATTCTATGTATAGTGGTGACTCATATCTCCAACTGAGCACGCACGCCGACGCCGCAGGTAAAAAACCTGGGACATATGCTGTGGAGATGAGGTGACAAACTAAGCTGAGAAAGACCAGGCAGCACTCCCAAAGCCCGTCCCCGCTCGCTGAGATCGAGCATTACATTTTACAAGGCAGAGGGAAAAAAGCTCTGTGTGGTTGGAAGCAGAAAACAAGAGAAAGAAATGTATGAACAGACAAGAAAAGGTGTCTGTCTGCATTTCAATCTCTTTTTTCCTGGAGAGAAAATATCCTCTAGTCTGTCTTTTTCCGATGTCTGGTCAGCTGCTCTGCCTTTTCTGTCTGCTTCCTACGTCTTCGCCCGCCGCCTGTCTCCCTGCCTGCCTGTTTTCCAGGACGAGCGAGAGCCCTCGGCCTCCCTCCCCTCTCATGTGCCGTAAACGCATTCAACCTCCTCTGCTCTCCTGTTAAATGAGTTCCACATGGCCCTGCAGGCTGCACGCGGCCAGCAGAGGCACCAAACACACAAACACACACACACAAGCGGAGTGCAAAGGGTCAAAGGTTACTCCCAGCAGACTTTGAGAATGCAACCGTTTGAACGTGGCCTCTCGCTCAATCAAAACGTCTCCCACCCCCGCCTCCCGCCTCTCCCCCGGCCTGGCTGCTGTGTGTTAGAGTCTGAGGGCAGGATGCATACTAATGGTGTCTGACTGACTGGCTGACTGACGGACTGGATTGCTGGTGGGCTGAAGTTGCTGGCAGTTTAACTGGATGTCTAACTGGCTTGTCTATCTGACGCTACAGCCGAGTGTTTAAGTGGTTGGCTGACTGACATCTGCTATAACTTGCAGGGGTGGGAGATTAAAATAAATAAAAGCAACACTCGATTACTCGGACTTGGAAAAAAAAAAGCCCTTTAAACACAACTACAAACAGGCGTTATCAGGCTGAAATCTAATCAGCACCTGTGATTTTCAAATGTTTCCTTTAAGCCTATTTTGATCTTCAATATGCGCAAAGATATGCTTCTTAGAACTCTTTTAGTCTCGTTTTAGCTTTGAGGGATATTACATCAATTTTATACTTGAAGCAGAGTTTACTTGACATGAGGAGCTCTTCTCATGCTGAGAATGCTGTTGTAAAATATCTTCTGTGGCTCTGGAGAGAGAGAGCACTTCAAAGCATGAGAAAGTAACCCTGATTATGTCATCGGCGTTTTCTCGGTTTAGGGCAAAAGACCACACATTTTAGAACAGACATGTGCTAGAAAACACGGGAACAGGCCTGTAAGAGAACTGCATGTACCAGGCAGGGAGGGTCTGACGTTATTCAAGTATTATTATTGTTTATTATTGATCTCTGGCTCTCTTCACACTCCCTGAGCCTGGTTCTGTTGGAGGTTTCTTCCTGTTAAAAGGGGGCTTTTCGTCCCCCTTGTTGCCAAGTTCTTGTTCACAGCGACTCATCTGATTGTTGGTGTTTTCTCTGTATCATCGGAGGGTCTTTACCATATAATGTAAATTGATTTGAGGCGACAGGTGCTATATAAATAAATAACACTGAATGGAATGAACCATTGTAAGCTGCATACATTACTGAGGATTTTGAATCCTGAGCCTTAATTCCTGTTTCATGAAGTCTTTCATTATTTTGTCTACACCTCATATGAGGCGTAATGAAAAAGTTTAGCAAACCTGACACAAATAAAAGCTTTTTTTGGCCACTTCAACAAAACTGTTGCTCAACATCAGTGATTTTGCCAACTTTCTCAGCAGGAAGTTCATATTTGAGTTTGACACAGAGGAGCAGATCCAGTAGTATGGAGAGCAGGACTTCTTAAAACAGCACAGGACTGGAGATGGTCTCGAAGGGCAGGATGGCCACTTTTGAACCAAAGTTGCAGAACGTTTTAGATTTTAAACCACACCTACACGGCGCTGGAAGACGTATTTAGACTTGAGTAAAAGCGTCAATGCTGCAGTGCAAAAAGACCCGACAAGA